TTTTTTTTTTTACAAAATTGTATCCTTTTTTTGTGTGCTTTATTTGTTTTATAGAAAATCTAATTTGTGAAATTAGGTTATTTTTGCTTTGGAAAAAAATCTAGTGCCGTGAGTTTAATTAGGAGGATTATTTGAATTTGCTGATATTGGTTTTGGGGGACGAATGATTTTACTACAAATATCATGGTATTTTTTGGTAGTAAACGATGAGCGAGATTGTGGCAACTATTTTGACCAGCGGATTGTGTTAGTTGTATTAACCAGCAATTAGGTTTGGTATTTCCGTAATATATTATTTGGTAAAATTAGCGGATTGATTTTGGAAAAAATATATTTGGCACTATTATTTTGATAAAGTAATATATATAACTAATTATAAAGTAATATACCTCTGTTTTATTTATATAATTATTTTTAGCAAAAAAACAACTTTGATATGATTAAGTATTTTAATTAAATTTTCTTATTTACCAAAAATTAAGGTAAAAAAATAACTAATTAAATATTAAAAGTAGCAAATGTAAATCCTCTCTATATATAATTCCCGAATGCGCTGAGCCTACGTGGCTGTTTCTGGTGCTTCAGAATCTTACTTGGCGAAAAATCATGCTTCGTAGTTAGATTTGGACAAATAATATTATATATTAATAATTAATAATCTAGGTTCGGGCATTCCATAAATATTATTTAGCTAACTTAGGTAGTTTAATATCAATTGTACTAATATAACCTTTTAATTCTTTAAAAATTTAGATAGTGAATCACTAAGTGACTAATATATCTCTGACTTTTGATTTGTTTCCTACAATTAGCTATTAAATTGTAAATGTATTTTAAAGGTTGATAACTTCTGTATTTGTTATCGGTTTTACATATATAATTTATTGTTTGTACCATCTGCTAGAACTTGTAGAATTCAAAAAGACCCGGCGTATTCGGGTCCAATACGTTGTTGTATTCCAACAGATATTTCTCTTTCTAACCAAAGAATTAGTAATATACCTGAGATCCTAATACACGTCTTAAAAAATGAATCCTGTCAGTAAAGTGGGTCCTATAGAGAGCCCACTTATTCCTAATCTCCAACGGAAATCATATATCGAAGAGTTAGTGCCGGGCTAGCAGAAAATCAAAGTTTATCAGAAGCCTGGTCCAAAATTCCTGAATCATCTTTTGATGATCTTCGATTTGACATCCATAGTATATATGAAATAAATAAATTATATTTATCTTTATAATAATAAAAAATAATAATATTTATTAAAATTCATTAGAAAAATAAAATTATTTCTCAAGTGATATATTCACGTTTAACGTAGTTATATGTTGTAAGTTAAAAAATTATTATAATATAACACAAGTAAGTCGCACAAATAAAAAGTGTCATACAAAATATAATAACTAAATAATTTTAAAAGGTATTTAAATTTTCAACTCCCGTTTCTCAGTAATTTTAGATTTTAAGAAAAAAATTAACAAGCTCCCGTGTAATACACGGGCGTTGCACTAGTTTCTATCAGAAATTCTATAGCACCACATGTGACACCATATTATGGTGCCACAACATGATGTGACACATTATGATTGGTCTTCTTTTATCACATGTCATGTTGTGGCACCAATTGTTTGTCCCATTTTTGTTGCGTTTTTTGTTGTCATTTTTTCATTCTTTTTCCCCTATTTCGAGTCATTTGATTGGTTTTAGGTTCATTTTGTCATTTATCGTGTGTTTTGTGTTGTCTTGAGTGCCCCGGTAATTCTTATGTTTTTTTCGGTAGTCTTCCGTTTGTGTTTTCGTTTTTGGTGTGTAGGTCGGGAGCTTCGGGGGAACAGGTTTTTGAGAATTTTTTGGGAAAGCTAACACCATTAGAAAGAGGGTTTCGTTAGCGACGCGTAGGAAAAAGTGGAACTCAATTCCGAGTTCGGACGAGCCCAAACGAGCCAAAAACGCGAAGTCGCACTGCCCAGGCCATAGCGGCGCTAAGGCCTTAGCGGCGCTATGCCTGGCTTATCTAGCGGCGTTACACCATGAAAACGACCCCCAGCAGCTCGGGCTTTCATCCCCTAGCGCCGCTAACCCCCTTAGCGGCGCTAAGGCCCCCTGGAAGTCCCAAAATGATATAAAAACCCAAAAAACTCGTTTTCTTCTTCATTCTTTCACTTCCAACTCGACCGG